ACATTGTGGCCACGCGCACGCAAGTCATTTGGATGCGCGGGCAAGTGTGTGGAGCAAGGTGGCCAAGGTTGAAATGTCATTCCATTTTTATCGCTTGTCAAGTTTAGGGTGGAAATAATATGCACTGGAACTAACGTCAGCATAGCTGAGAGCACATATGAAGCATCCGTAACATGAGTGCCCCTCTTTGGAAGGTTTCCTGCAGCTCCGCAATTGGTAAGTTTTCCTTACGATTTAAGATGGGATCATTTTCGATGCAAAACTGAGTAAGACGTTTAACGGTAAGCTTTGGACTATAATTTTGGTCGAAATTTTATCTCTGTTTGGGAACACAGGTTAAATATTCACAATCAGAGACCAGTCCTCAAATCGTCGATGGTGAAAATTATGAAATTGTGATTGCTAAAGGGAAACCTAATTAAAGTTTGACTAAATCGCATTTGGGAGGGGTTGACTACTTTTTCTAGAGTTCAAAACTCTGGCAGCTAAGTTGAAGGTTTTGGTCAGGTTTCCTTGCGTTTGATCAGGTCATTAAGGAGCAAGTTAATGGCTAAAATGCTATTGTGACCTAATCCGAAATCCGGTTCTCTTTTACTTTTTTCACCAATAAATTGCTTGAGAATTTCAAAAATCGTTCTACCCCTTTTGGACCAATCCGTCTCACTAAGGCTAAAGAAGATAGAGACACACCAGTTCTCCATCCCCAGCCCGGTGCAGAACCGCTGTCATTATGCGTGCTGACGCGAGCACAACCATGCGCGCTGAACCATGAGGCAGTAATTTTTTCCCATTACCTATATTGGACTATGCACAAGTTAATATACAGGGCATAAACCCGCGCAGGCTGTCCCATTGGGAGACATTGGGAAGTAAGCTAGGGGGGATCGAAGCAAATATCAAGAAATGGATGAATTCGTATCAACATTTGGACTCACAAGAGTTCTACCTCATCAGTTTGCCCTAATTTTCCTTTGTGTTAAATTGCCCTTCATTGTGTCTTATTGAAATCACTTTTCAAGCATTAGCAATTTTTGACGAGTTTCCGGTTCGCGGCTTGGCGACGGATATATTTGTCGCCCTTCTTGGCAGACACTGCATTTGTCCCATCTTTAAAAGAAAACCTTTACCAATAATTAACTGTTATTTGTTCACATAGTAAAGCGTGTGTTTAGATTTTATTCCTAAAACTTGAAGGCAAAGGAGCTTGAAGGAACACTTATCAAGGCAGCACAGTCAAAAGAAAGCAGCATAAGTTGCATGCAACGTAGATATGGACAAGCCATTTTTGGTAAGTGAAATGGAAGTTTGATATTGTCTAGCTGAGGAACATTGCATGTGATGGTATTTAGGAATTAAAAAATGCTTTGAAATCAAAAATTTATTTCTCTGTGCTGCAGCAACCCGATTTATATGAACGAGGCTTTTTTCTCATTACTTAAGGTTGACGTAGCAAACTGGAACCCCTCATCAACAGATTAAAGTGGATTAGGATCGGGCTTGAGCTGACGAAAACACTAATAAGATGATGAGTGTCGCGTGACTAGAGTAAGTGACTTGGTATGCATTTGACGTTGATGGATAAATCACTTTGTGATCCCGCCTCAATAGAAGCTGTCACACAGTGAAGGGTAGATGCAAGAAAAATGAGACTTACTAAATGGATATTTGGCTTTACACAAAACGCCAAACAGTTGGGTTGTATACACAACAAAAGATCGGCAATCTACAAGTGTAAGTAATTTTTTAAGCCGTTTATAAACGCACTAGAAAGTCGGCACTAACATTCTGCAATGAGAGTCTTTGCTCATTTAAGGCGGTTGTATTTTTCAGTAGATTAATCGTAAGTTTTCTGAAAGCCAAATCAGTGCGGGTAGTAATGGTCCTGTCCTACAGCTTCCGTTGTTTAGTTCACATTACGATATTTAAAAAATCTGCTCCCTTTTGCCTGGGTCACTTTTGAGCTTCTGCCTGTGTAATGCAGTAATGCAAATTCACTGACCGAATCGTGGCCTGCATCGTCTTCTGACACTTTAATGGTGCCTGCTTTATACGCCACTCCAATGGCTTTCTAGACTGAGCTTTACCAGGCAGGTATCCATGGTATTCACAATCATCAGTCTACGCCCAGCCAATACGCCTCCCCATACCGCGTTTGATGATTGTCGGTTGAATTAAGTTAGACGTTAGCGTTAAGTTCATTAACGCTGAGCACTTGTTTGTCCAAAAAGTGATAACTTGCAGTCCAGAGTGAGTACGTATTTCGTAAATGATTTCATATCATTGCCTTGTAAAACAATGAAAGTGTTACCGTTCTCTGCGTTGCCTTCAATACATTTAACTCCATCAAATTCGTAAGCTTTAATTGAGCATCCTCCTTTTTATTGCATATGCTACTCCCACCATCGCTTTATTTCCCATTGCAAAGCCCTAACGCTGAAGCAAGGCTATGAAAATGCTCTCAGTATTCGCTTATGTTTACGCGATACCTACAACGCATTTCACACGCAGCCGATTGAATCAGGTACGATGCGGCTACCGTATGCATGATTTAATCGGTTGAACTACTATCATCGAGATTGCGCAAAGAATTAGAGGCATATACTGTTGCCTCGAGGCTTTTTTAAAACGATCGGTTTTTAAGGACTTTTGATGCAATTCCATCCTCTAGCGACATTAGGCAGAACTTGATCATCATTAAAAACAGAGGTGGAGCACTTTAAAACATTTCAATATTGACAATATGAAGTGAGCCATCGGTCAATGTACTCCCAAACGTGGTGCAAATAATATCTTCTTTTTTTCATCCTTAGAATTCCAAGCAAAATGCATTACTCAAACGGAAGCATCGGTTTTGTTGTTCATGAGGGGGTGGGTTTCCTTTTTTGTATTTCACAATACACTAACCGTACGATTAGCCCTGGATACTGAATAGTGGACATACGTGCGAGTGCTAGAGTTGTTTACAGATATATTCGTCTATGCTCGGCACATTGAATTCAAAGCTTCGCCTACGGAAATCAAAAGGATTGTTGGAGCACCTCACATCATAGCTCATTTATTTCCTTACGCTACTGCTAGAACAAAATGATTTCCACTTTTCAAATTAATCTCCGATCCTAAAACTGCTCCTTTCCTCCTGATGTAAAGCTTCCCCCTAATCTCTCATTCATCATGCATATGCAAAGTTGTTGTAGACAGGCGAAACGATAATTACGTCCTTATGTATAGTGGAGGGTTAATTAATTATGACAGACAAATGATGGCAATTTAAGTAATGTGACTTGTTAACATGCAGCAAAATTTTGTGCATCCCTTGTTTTAGCTTCTTTTGAAGTGCGGTGTTCCCCACTTCAAAGCCCTCAAATTTTTGTGACGAGTAGAATGCATCGTGTCGTGGTCACTACAACGAACTGTTACCACCTTAACTCAGCCAGTGTTTTGGTTTCATTTTGATCTTTACTTGGTCTGGCCTTAAGATGGATACTTACAATCTCATTTCCCCCAACATCACAGCTGTTGAGAGAGTGCATTACAGCTCCAACTCATGCCTCTGTGTAATGAATTACGTAAAGTATTTTTAAACCGGTAAGCTCGCTCTTCATACAGTTAAGCTTCTATAATGCGGTGGGTAGCAAATCCACCTATGCTTGAGTCTAAGGCCAGAGGACGAGGCAAGTTTGCTAAAGTTTGTCTGCCCTGTTGCAATAACATCATCGTCAGTGGCGCAGGCTGCTTACCAGCCCCGCCATATGATGGCATCCCGATTTTAATCATTGTGGCAAAGCTCTGTGCTCGCCTGTTCTGCTCATGGGAAAAGCCATACCAGAGGTGCCAAATGAAATACTCCTTCTTCACTGTTACCGTATAGCATGCAACTTGTTTAAATGCATGGATAAAGTTGTTGAATGCTACGCCTGCACGACAAAATCATTTGAGTACGTAACAGAGAAGAATTGGATGCTTTACTGCGGGTGTCCATCAACAGCCTTTAGTAAGCGTTCCTTTCATTTGTGTTCATTGTAGGAAACGATATTCAAAGGGATGGTAGTTTGTTATCCATTTCAATTACCAATTTGAACAGGCTTTTCCTCTAGGGTTTCCTACGATTACACCTTCATGAACGCTGCCCCCCACTAATTCCATTCAAACAATGCGAAGTTTAAAGTTGTGGCCAAATAGACGCAAATGTTGTATGCATGCTTATTAGGAAGTCTCTGAAGCATTCTGGAATGCCATATGTGGTTGGGATGGTCAGAGGACCAAAGATAATAAAGTGACCAGCTGTTTCATTTACTGCCGCCACACTTGACCACACTGGACCGAAGTAATTCAACACCATTGTTCTCAAAGGCAGGGAGTGGACTCCAAGACCGTCATTTCCAGTTTATTTACAAATATTACGCATAAATTTATCATTAATGAGCAAAGACAATATCTGGTTTTTAATGCATGGGATGGGTGCAGAATTTAAGCAATGAAAATGTAGTGTCCTAGGCATAACTTGGTTTTCTTTGGTAGCACTTCGATGTTTGCAGCAGATTTCTAGAAGAAGCAATGCCATTGGTTTAATAATTTTAAAAGCAATACTTTAAAATAGTTTTTTATTACTGAGGGATGATCATCTGGAAGAGGAAATTGGATGTCCCTTAAAAAAAATGCAAAGAAGAAGCATTTCGGTAGGCGATGAGAACTGTTTTGCATTATCTCAGCAAACTTTTGGATTGTTAGCCTAGCAAGTAATAAAGTGGTCGCCTCCACCGATATAAGTGGCATTTGTTCACGTAATGGTCCCTTAGCGTATCTCAGTCTCGTACCCATAACTACCAATAGTAACCGACTTTTTGTAAGGCAAGGTGACCAAACGCGTAAGCATTGAGATGTTGTGCTCTTTCTAGCAGCACATCAGTGTCTACATTGTAGTAGGTGAGTTTTATGTTCCAGCGAATGCAATACTCTGTTATTTTTCGACATTCGTTCTCTCCTCCCTCTTTCAATGAGCTGGCGGTAAGGAGTTTTATCTATAGTCATTTCAAGGCGCAAATAATATCCGAAAAAGAAACTCTTCCGTAATCCCGTCAAGGGGAACCTATCCAGTCTAGTACTCAGCGCGAAGTAAGCTGCGTGTTCCAAGCAAAGCTGTGACGCCTCTTCACGTGTTGTCTATTGCAGAATTTAGTACTTGTGTATGCGGCATTTAAGGATCTACCTCGAAATTTTTTCTAGAAAATTCGCTGACTTGCTGCAATTATCCTAAAATTTTAGAATCCTTGATGTTTGATCCGCTGCATTTCCATAAAAAGTGACCTTAGCTTTATAGTTCAGCAATTTATACTTATTGTCCATAAATACTTTGGCAGAAAGCTGAATAAGTTTTCTTTTTTGTTTTGCCCGTGTCAGAAAATCCTCCAATCTTACGCTAGCATTGCATATTGTCTGCTTAGTCTGAGCCACCACATAACTTCAACAGCTTCGTTCCATCATGAAGCACAACGACTTTCACCCAAAGCATTGGTCACAAAAACATAGAAATACGAACATCCTAGGTATTTGTCACCATCGTCAAAGACACCGCAATGCTTGGTGTCTTCTGGGATGCATTTGGTGAGTCTGCTAATCCATGTACTCTCACTTGAGGGAGGGTGATTTCTGACTCCTTCTGACAAATAATAATGTCACAATAACAAAACTGCAGTCCTGATCCTACTCTCCTTGAATGGGTGAAAGCACTTTCATGAAAGCTTCATGATGTGACTGTCACCCTGCTGGATGAATGGTTTTTATTGTTACTCTTTGATGCGATAACGATGATAGAATGATTTAAAGTAATAAAAAATGCCTTGTTCGGAATTGGTGGCCTTACATCGCACACAGCAGTAGGAGATGGGAACCCAACTTAGGCGTTGACTTTTTCTGCCCTGATTTGACTAGGATGCTGTGAAACTGACTCGCAGGGATTTACCATGACTAAGAAACCTAACATTTAGCCACTTTTGAACGCTTAAATCAATTCAGTTTTCTGCTCATGATTTAAGTTGTTCAAGTTAGCTATTTTAAACTACGTTAGATATCCGGAATAGTAACTTGTAAAGCATCATTCTTGAGAAAGTTGTGTCCTCATTTTGGGAAGTGACAAAACACAACTCTCTGACATTTAAAATATATAAATAGAAGACTTTATAGTAAATTTACTGCGTTTTCTATGTGGATTCAGTAAAAAAATTTCATAATCGAAAAAAGGGCTTCAATGATTGCATGAGGCGACGTCGGTATCCCTGGTCGGCAGGCGTATCTGCAGGTGGGCGGTGAGTTTTGTGCTGACGAGAACCTGCTCATGATGCAGACGCAACTGCTTCAGCAAAAAACCTTTCTCAGAGCGAGCTAAGAGACGTTTCTTGAAGTTGTGCAGTCCAATGTGGATATCGGTCAGTCGCAGAGAGTAGACTATAGGATTTAGCAGCGCAACAAAGACCGGCATATGAGTGACAAGGTCGAAAATCCAAGGTGGCAAATCCGGACTCTTACCAGTAAGAACAAAGTAGGCGTCTAAAGTTAAGGATGGGAGGTAGAAGACAGCGAAGAGTACTGTGAGGGAGAGGAGCGTAAATGTGCTGCGAAGAAGCTTTCGTCCGGTGCACAGAGGGGCGGTCCTTGGTGTAGTAAGATGCACAATTTTGGAACCGTGGAGAGGGGAAGAGACCCCGTCGACTCTATTAATTGTCGGAAGAGAGACGCTTCTGTGCGTGTCCATGGCTCGCATTGTACGAGTTCGATTGAGTGAGGACTTGCGGACCTTTCGCAATGATAAAATACATAGTGTATTCATCATGATTATGCAGATAAAAAGGAATCCACCACTGACGAATCCACTGCGAAAGGTGTTTGCTGTTCCACGAACGAGGCAGAAATTTAGATTATTAGAGTAGTGAAGGACGTCACAGGGTTCGGTTGGTGGGAGGAATCTTCGATATATTGGTGCATTTATGTCCCTTTCCGGGAAGGCAGGAAGAATTAGTTGCTGGCAGCCGAGAAGAAGAGCAAAAGCCCAACTCCCGTACAAATACCTGAGAAGTGTGCTTTTTGGCAGCATATAGTAGTGCATGGGACGCACCACCCCGAGATAAAGATCCAACATGAGACCGGCTATGCTACAGAGAGATGCGTTGTAGGCGGTGCAAAGAAGCATCGACAGAACTAAGCGCGTGCAGGGTTCAACAGTCTCAATTAAAGAAATGGTATTGGAAGTGGTCACGAAGGCATGATTAGGGCTCCAAAAATCGAGTAGCAAATTCAGTAATGTTGTTGTTGCATTCAGTAAGTCAGCGAGAATGAGAGAATAGACAAGGTGAAGAGCTGTTGTAAGACGTGCCTTCGGTTGAGGGCACTGTTTCACTGACCTCTTTCGCCCCACATTCGACTGATTCAGCCAATAATTTGATTCCGTCGCAGTAAAACGCTTTTGCGGACCACAGAGATAGAACATTTGGCCTGGACAACTGGGTGATCGATGAATCGTCGAATCTTTTTGATAATTCGTGTCAGATGTATTTAAGGAGGTTCCATTGGGTGTGAAGGGGTTAGTGTCTTCTACATCGGAAGCATGAATGCGTATGATCTTAACGCTCCTTGCATGTTGCAGGTTTTTTGGCCTAAAACGTGGATGACCTCTATTGCACGATCTACGGATGCCCAGAAACCGTTTTGAGCTTGATGAATAGGAGAGGTGGGTCAAACCTGTAAGAACAAGGCCATTCAACACCATAGCCGAGATAGCCATGCACAGGTAGACTGAACTGACGACTATGTTCGGCAGCTCGCTTCCTCGGCAAAGAAGTCGAGGCGAAACGTTTTTGTTTTCAATGAGGCCATTCATGTCCATTACACTCCAGCCTCTTAACTAAAGAACGCTGATGATTTCGACATTTTAAACATTCGAAGACGATTGAGATTGCGATATGAGGAGAAGTGACGTGGATGTAAGTTTACTTTGGTATTTCACACCAGCGAGATTACGAGCGCGTAGTCCGCGAGAAGATATAAACACATAACATAGTCCATCTTTTAAACGTCGCGCAATCCATTTCGCGCACTCCCATTTGAGGTTGAGTACGCAACCAATCAGAACGCTCGTTTGCTGGCCAACCCTGCAATGGATGTGCCAGTTCCAAAGCTGCACGATACGATTAATGATGATGCAATCAATCAAGCTGCGCACTAGCAACCACTTCTGATCAGAAGTAATTATCGCACTGATCTTATTCTTACAAACCCAGCAAGTAACTGCAATTTATGTGATTGTAAAATCCAGAATAGCGTTGATAGATCCAATCTATCAAATGGTTGAATATGGTTTTGTATATTCATGAGGCCTTACGCTTCTTTTCCATCATTGCATTATAGTCCATGCTCTTGCTTTTGTCCATATCACTACTGCTAATTCAGTCGGCTCTACCCGTATTTGGTGGTTCCAAACGCGTAGATCACCCAATGTCATCAATTTTTCCCTGAGGAGAGCAGAGTAATCAAGAAAGTTGTAACGCATATAGGCTGTATAAATTGAGCTTAATGAGAGGGGTGCGCGTAGTCAATTCGAGGTCTGTGCTTGAGGTGTTCGCGGAGGAGATGTCTCCCTCCCAATAAGTGAATCGCTCCCCACCTCTTGCTTATTGTAAACCGAGGAATTCTAAATGAAGTCTTTCCAGGAAAAGCCTTCTTGAAAATTCTAGAACTTTTTGGGCGGTCACTTGAACCTTTTCCTTCCTTAAATTGCGATTTATGGGTACTTGAAAATCATGATCAAAGGTGGTTTAAAGGTTCTTCTTCGATTGAAGGGGTTGTACCTCCTCATTTATACAATTAATTCCAAGTACAATTCTACTGTGACTGGATTTTTGCATCTCCATAAAGAATCATGAAGATGGTGAAAACGTACAGCAGATTTTAAAGCCTTTCAGATTCCCGCGTGTGTCCCCGTGTTTACCTTTACCGAGTCAATGATGCGTTTCTTACCAGGGAATTAATAAGGCACAAGAGCCTTTTGCAATGAGAGATTCAACGAGGCGGAATACAATGGAATTAATAGTTTTTTTAAGCCTAAGCTGATAGCTCAAACTAAATAAAAAGGAACACAGATTGTATACCATAACAGAAAGAAAGTCAAACCGGATGGGAAACCGTAATAAAACATTTTGAGGATGAGCTGTGTGCAGAAATACCTGTCAATCCTGTTCTTTGCATCTTGATCAAAAGCCCAGGGCAAACTCCCTTTTTGGACAGAGGTTTGAGCAGATTGTCAACTAAGTATATTGTTAATAAGTAAGCATGATGGAATTACACTTCGGCGTCCAGCGCACAATCACTACTAACGCAGCTTTTTTATTTCTCTTCTTCTTCTCCTGGTTCCTATGAATGGACTGGGCGAGATCGTTTTGATCACTTGAGGCTTTTATAATGACATGTTGAACATTATAGCTGGGAAGAAGTGGACTTGAAAGAGGCAGTGGCCTTGGCATCCGACTGTTCCCCGTGCACGATGTTCTAGCTTCCTCCCTTATTCCCGCCAATAGAATAAGGGAAATTTTTCAAATCACCTGTTAGGATGCATGAACGTGTACCAGTCAAAATCGCCCGGCCAAAATGCCTCGAAGAAGTGCGTAAGATTAGTTGTGCCCTTCGGAGGATTTCTGTTGTGAACTCTAACACTTCCTTTGGTCACTCTTAGAACAAAAAAGTTATAACAAATTGTAAACTGCTTTATGTTTATGTTTAGAATTGTATGTGATTAAAATAGTGGGAAAAATGGACGTTGTTATTCCATCCTCTTACAACAGGAATCTGGGTAAGTACGCTATTTATGGAAAGTTAGGAACATTAAATTGACACTTTGCCAGATGTTCTCATTCCTTTTCCTTTATCATCTACTAGCATCAGGCCTTCGTTGTTCCCTTCATTTTCAACAACTGTTGTTCGTGGTGTTTGATGGTGTCACAGAGCTGGTACGGCAAGCAATTCTACCATTTCACTGAGTCGTGCTTGTAAAGACGAGTTGGGACAAAGTCTCTGTACACCCTGTTCGTGAAATCCTAATTACTTGCAAGTAATTTTGGAAGGTTTACACTGCTTCTGACTCGAAGCTGTGGCATTTTAATTCGATGCGAAAGAGCGACCTCATTGCCAACGTGAAGAAAAGGTGGAGAGGTACAGCGGAGCCTTGCACCGTACATTAAAGTCTTCAAAGGAAGAAAGTTATCAGTAATGGCGGGTAATGTGAATTATTTATTTGTCCATATTATGATCCCTGAAAGGGCTACGAGAATGTGATTTATGTCTTTAATGATCATCTACTGACGGTAGAGCTCAAATGTTATTTTTTGGTAATGTTACATTGACATTCATATTCCTTTCATTCCAAATCATTCAGTTATTTTTAAACAACTCTGAGCTGCATAGCATGCGTCAATCTTAAAGGGGATTGAAGTATCAAAATGAAAAAGGGTTTGACCGAAGATTTCTGCAAGAACATGGTTATTTGCGAAATACATACATCGGTCCGGCTTATTCTGTACAGTTGTTGTTTTGAGATATGCAATATTTATTTCTGTTCATTTTGTGGATTTTATCACTAGATTCCTTTTCTCGATGAATTTGAACTACTTTTTCGATGCAGCTATGGGGAATCGACGTGACTCCTGAGGCTCCACTAAATGAATGACCGTTTCCTCAGGTAAATAAGTACATTTTCTGCACGTTAAGAAATTTGGGTAAGAATAAAATGCTGCTAAGGTGTGTGTGTTTGCTCGATTTTTCTGAATTAATTAGGTGAATGCAAAGGTGTGACTATCATCCTGACTCCACATGTTTCCTTGTCACCGAACAATTTGACCCAAAGTCTACGACACGCAATCGAGAAAGCGCATCGCCTTCTTTAGTGTAACGCTCGAGGCGGTGATAGCATCAACTGATGAGTCGAAAATGCAAAACAAGCGTTGGAATAGACTTTGCAAAACGCAGCCAGTACCACTTCGTTACCAGCACTGTTCAATGTCCATTGCAAATCAGTCAATTAGTCAAGTATACTAATTTTCGAAAAAAAATGCTTTTAAAATAATTCTTAAAATTTAGTAGTCATAACACAACACTAGGATCAAAGCACCGACAATCCATTTATTGTGAGACACATGGAATGACATTTCCTTTGACAACAAACTATCTCTTAGCTCCAAGGCTGGCCATGCTGTTTAAAACCCAAAGAAGACATAAAATTTCGAGTACTCTACCTTTTTAAATAAAAGTCTGAGAAGAGTTTATGAAATTTAAATAATTTTTCTCGGTACTCAGCACTTTGAAATAAGCTTAGAGGAGCATGGAAAAATGTGACAAAATTCACCAAACACGTCTGCGTCTTTTTTTATCATTAAGATGAATTTCCAACAATGTTAGACTTTCTGTGTTTCATGTAAAGATTAAGACACTCCTTTTAGAACTGAAAAGATGACTTCAAACCCAACGAGTAGATGTTAAAGTTAGGATTAATGAAGCCAGCAGTGACAGAAAATATGAGCACTAGTTTGCTTGTCTCCAAACATTTTGGAAGTGTTCTGTTCTGTTCGCAACTCTCCTTCACCTGTATGTTCGACACACAGCGAATGAGACTTGTGAAAATTTCCCTTAAAAGCCACATTAATGTTGTAACCCTCGCAAACCTGTACTGCTGCAGAAATCGGAATGGTAACAGGTGTTTTCCATCTTTTTTGTGTAATTCATAAAGTTACTGCCAACCGTTTTCCCTAATTTTGCATCTTATGAGATCTATGCTATTCTTTTCAACTATTGAACAGCTAAGAAAGCTATTTGCGATTGGAATAGCTAAATTCATAATGGTTAAGCCTTTCTTTTCGGAATGGAAGACTGCAAGCTCTACTCTATCATAAAACTTTTTGCCTGTGGGGGTTCAATAGCACGCCATTTCCGATGCCAGCTTAATTTTTCATTCCCCAAATGCCATATGAACCAAGTGGTGATGGCAAAGGAGTGAAACCACTCGAACTATTCAGACATTTCAAAGATAAGGAGGCGCGCCATTTGCCCATTGGCTTGAAACTGTCCTAAAGGGGAAACCAAGCATAACGAACCAAAGGCAGCCTTTTATGATAGCGTTTAATTCCCAGTAGATAACATACGCAGAATGTAGTTGTTAACATCGTCTAGGTAGCCATTTATGGAACATCTTAGAGCCACTTAGACTGGTTCTGTTAGTAGTCTTTTAAAAATTCGTTGACATCTCCCATTTAAAAGTAGTCCACATCGTTTCTGCTGACTTCCGAATCCGTGATATCTCTGCTACGTTTGTGCGAGTCTTTTAATTTCCGTTTCACAGTAGTAGGCACCTGCATAAAGGCAAATTTACAAAATCCTATAAATTATCATTCCCAGTTTCATAACAAAGTTCCACAAACCCTTCATATGTGTCTGCCTGATTAACTCCCAATGAGTTCCCATAAAGCTATCCCATAAGTTTAGATACTGGTGAAATTACACTACTTAACTTTTTGTAAAAGCTGAAAAAGTGTAGTAGTTGCAAAAGCTATTAATTCGAGAACACTGGCTATGTTCAGCACTGCTTTACGCTTAAAATTAGGCTTGACGATCGCTATAACTCAGGACATAAAACAACGCCTTGGTTGCAGTTGAAGACGAATGAACAAGGAACACAACATCGCACGCGCGTTTTTGCTGTGACGGAAACTTCGAGCCCAAATACTCATCTTCAGACCACCAGCATACATAAGTGCTGGTTTGGATCACTGAAAACAGCTTGTGCTTCCATCAAGTGCGTCTACCCCATCCTCTCATAACTTCTTTTGACTTCTGGGAACTGTGTTCATTTGCCTTCATTTGCAAATTTGCAACGTTAACCGAGGGAGCTGTAAGATAAAACTAAGATGGAATAGTGTTGGCTACTGAAAAAAAGGAAATAGTAGAGCAGCCCTACATGCCTTGCCAACAACGCCCATAACTATCACAACAACCTGCTTCAGCACGTATTGTTTGTTTAAAGTGGGCTCTATTAGGATGGAGGAGTAAGTTTTAATTCGAATGCGGTACTCGATGGCCCCGCAAAGAAGGCGTTTTCCTTAACAAGTTAACCTAGTCCTCTTTGCACATCTTACTCGTTTAGGACCGAAACGGCGAATAAACCCCTTCCTTGAAAGGTATTTTCCGAAAGTTCCATGGAGGAAAGGCTCGAATTCGCTACACTTGCTAATCAACTTCGTCAAAGTCAACACAGCAATGCTATGAAATGCACTATTAAGTGGATTTAAGCGCAAACGTTAAAATTATGTTTCTTGTGTAATTAAAATTTCCTATTGGGTTGACATAAACTGAAAGTATACTCATCCTCCTACCTCCAGAATCAGTTTAGAGGTGATGCCTTCAAACCAGATAATAATGTTGAGTTATGAACAGATTTTACTCGCCTTTGGGCTTACCTTGGTAACGAAGTCGTAAAATGAATTCTACGGTTATTAGCAATGATGCTACATCAGTCTTATCTGCGCATTTCCCTTTGAGGTGAAATGTTCATAAAATTGTTAACATAACTTACCAACGGCATCCCAACGTGCTTTAGCATAAGTCACCTCTATCAAGGTCCCTTCCACAACTACTGTTAATGGAAAAGTGTTTGAAAATATGAAGTTACAGTGTTTCGCACCAGAAGACTGTTAGATTCTAGTACCTCTTACGCGAAACAACTATGAACAGTGTTGTAAAGTCCTTACAGGTCGCCAAATTTGGCATTTGACCACAAATCACGCAAGTGCACGCAGATTACATTCCCCCCCAAAGCGTGACCTCTGAGTCATGGTAGCCAGCATCACTCAGGCCATCGTGTGCCATCGATGTATTTTTGTGCCATAAAATTCTAGAATATCTAGCTAAATCGCATCCCCACCCTCCCTCATATACTGAGTCAGGCTTTATGTAAGAGAAGACCTCCCATAACCCGTTCATTGTCGTTTTAGCTGACTGAAGCAATGAAGTTCACTTGCTCGCGGTCCAATAATGCCACTCGTCAACAGCAAGATCGCTTTACCTACGTTTTGAATTGCCTAGCATTTACATTAGAAATTCTCCTTCCGTGTGTGACTAGGCACGAACATTAGAACCGCTCGTTTCTGCCATATTTTTCTAAAAAGAGCAATAATTGACACCCACGCTCAGTTTGCATTTCAAATTATAAAGAAATGTTTATATAGTGAATGAGCGTTCGGTTTTGAAGTGAATTAAAATAATGGAGTACCGATGCAGTAAACTACATGCGTACGGAAATCCAGTACTCTGCTCCCGAGACACCGCTAAGTTAAGCGTCGCCACCAACTGTTGACAATGCAAAGCTAATTTTCAGTACCAGTTTCTGGTGAAAATCCAATGATTCTGATAACAGACTCACAGTGTCTCTAGCGGTCCTCCATTCCCATCCGACAACACATCTTCAGCCTCAAAACGCCACAAGCGTACCAAAATGGAAATCCTCTGCAATAGTTACACTATAGTTACGCTTCGGATACATTCGAGCGTCCTATCACTATGCCGTTGAAAAGGTGTTTGGGTCTAATAATCTTTAAAAAGTGCACATACGCCTCGCTGCCACACGATCATTGCCTTCGACACCTCTTTTCACGGTACATTAGTTATTACCACGTTGACTGTTTGTCTTAGTTGCGTATGCAATTACTTGGCTGGTCATATTGCCTTCGGAAAGTAAGCTAACCTTGACCTCCGCCTCCGTGCGTCGAACGCACGTATCCCACCAGAGCACCATACCCTCTACCATCATTTGAGATGCATCACGACATGGTAGACGGCTTTTTTGATATTCGCGAATGGCTTTGCCGGACACCTCCTGAGCTGTTTCATCAGATTATGTCTACAAAACGACATCAAACCGAGCATTCTCGCACACCTCACCTTAATGCATAAAACAATCGACATCAGCGAAATCAACCCAGATTCACACACCAGCCGCCCCCTACAGCAACTCCCACGTGAATACCAAAGACGCTGATTAAGCACGCACTAGTTTGATGTATGCATATGATGGCATACTCTCGCACTTTTCATTCCCATCCATCTATTTACCAAAATTGAATTAAGCAGGATCAAGTGACCCGCAGCCTACTTTCCAAGTCCTTCTACATACTTCCTGTGACAAAGGCGTACTTGACCGCTTTTTCATTTTCCAAAGGAGACTGTATTAAGACTACCATCGTGTTGCCTGAGAAAACAGGAACACCACTCAAGAGCGACAGATTATGATAACTAAGAGCTACCGACTCAATTTGTGTAGTATGGCAAACCTACGACCCAACATATTCTTATTTAAATTTAACACAAACTCCGTTATTCTGGTAGCATCAAGTTATCGGATGCATTTAACTCATTTTGTCAAAATCGAGATGGTAACACGACGAAGCAGTGCCCAAAATTAAAACAACTAACGTTCAGGGGGTACATGTTGCTCGAAACTGTATTAATGGAACAAGGCAGCGGACAACGAACGAGGTTATCAATCGAACAAGGTACTGCTCACTTTACCTCTGGGTGTCCAAGATGATCAAGGCACCATTCTCCACGCAGATGTGTGGACACCTGCTTCCTCCTCCTTTAATCCCTTTCCCCGAACACGAGTCTCCTCCTATAATAACTGCACCATATTTTCAAATTTATCGCTACTTGATCGTAATGACGGTGTCTGGGTCAAATTTAAGGGACACAGTCAAAGCCACGAGAGAAGACAAACACAATGACACATCCAGAAAGTGGAGGCAAGTCTATTATCATTAACTACCTCATTTAACTTCATTTTTCAGCAGAGCCAAGAAGACCAATGTCAGTAGTTTAGCCCACTTTCGTAAAGATTATGATGTTCAGTGACGTTCATAAAATAGCTCCTGTAGTAAGGAGGTATGCAGGGCTAAATATCCTCGAGGAGATCTCGTTGACCAAAAGCAAAGGCAACAATACTGACAATTACAAACCAAAAGATCCTGTCCCCCGAGTCGTTCAATTTTCGATGCTCACTTTTCTATAATAAAACAAGAAAAAAGATGTGAAAACATAAATCATGAATGCGGTTCAGATAGGGTGAGTAGTTAAAACAATAAGCTATTGAGCATTTCGTATACGACAAGCAATAATAGAGTAATCACATACCATAACATAGCAAATGGACCCACAAGTTTAATTGAGCCACAATAGACTACAAGCTATAAATTTACACGCGTAGACAGGAAAAATGTGAGCGCAACAGGTGGGGAGAATATGTTCGCTTAATTTTGGCATGCACCAAGGTAATCTCAAGGAACGTACTAAGAAATTTACGCACTCGCAATCAACGCAAATATGTTGCATTATTTTTGAAAGGAAGCTTTCCACAAGTGAAGAGCTGTCAAGCCCACACCACATTTGACCAAACCCGATGTTACCCATCGCAAGACATAAACAAATAGCACAGTGAAAACATTGGCGGAGTGGTCAGAAGATATATAGTCTGAGAATCGACAGTACCCTTAGTTGCTTGCAAAAACTCTTCCCGATTTGCCGAACGGTGTGGCAGGTGCCCGGAAGGAGAGGCGGCTCCAGTGAAAGTAAGCTACCGTAAATCCAGGGTTGCTGAAAAGCAAATAAGCGAAGAAGGTTGTGTGGTAACAAGGGAACATACCAGAGCGCTATTCCACCTCGCCTGAGAACACGCTGGAAGAAGGGTTTCGAGCAAACGTGACACATTAGCCTAGTTAGGGACGTAAACAGATATAAGTAGCAAACCTGGGATAATCCAACGAAATACAAAAGCATGGGCGGATGATTCACAAGCCAGTTAATACAAGTATCCGAGGAGAGAGAAGAAAGTAGTGAATCCTGAAGAAAATGTAATGAAATGTACAAATTCCGCTATCCCAAAAGGCATAACCCATTCAAGGATATTCGTGACAAGGGAAATTTTGGACCAATACACGGCTAAATGGAAGATAAAAGGTTTGAAAACACTAAAATAAGTCTGGAGACCCAAAAACCAGGACAATCATGATCCAGTTTAAGCAACCAACCAAGATTTTTTCAAATGTTAACATATGAAGGTCTCGAAAAAACAAAATAGCGGCATGACCAAAAATACCTAAAGCCAAAAATTGTGCCGATCCTACACTTCACTATGCCCTTTTCTTTGGACCCATCTAATAATCAAATACAAGTCTTAACTTACAGCATCAGAGGGGAAGTCATTCGTAGGAAGAAGATGTTGAACCAAATAGCTAAACTCCTAGAACCGAAAGATTCTGACATCTAACACCGAACCTTCTGTGACTTTTGAAACTTGTAGGCTTGAGCATATTTCCAAGCTTCAGAAAAATCATGAGAAAAAGGCCGCGAACGATCAGTTACAGTCATCTCAACCTAAAACCAGTTCAAGTCGGCGACAACACTTACTTCATCATTATTCAGTGTGTGTAACGGAGAAACGAGAGTTTCTGGAAGTTTTGAAGCCTCTAACCTTAAGGGAAAAAGAGTAAATGCGAAATCGATGCTACCGAACATATCGCAAATACTCGTTCGGACACAGAAGTATTTTAGAAGTGTCCGGTGGATCCCTTTCGTCACAATCCTCCACGGGAAGTGCTTGCTGGAGAAGTTCATCATCAGAAGAAAAGTCGGAATTCAAGTCGCCAACAGACTCCCCGCCGAAACCTGGAAACATCATACAACGAAGGCGGTGCTGCAATTAGACCGTCCACGAAGAATTATAAGAAAATATGTTCAATCCAATAAAGATTATACCTCACTTTATTTCATGTAGATTTTGCTCACAAAGATTTTTTAAGTTTATTTGTCTATATTTAAAATAATGAGGAATTGCATAAGCTATTCAATGGAAATTCTTGAAATGTAGATTGAAACAGGAGGCCAGGCTATAAAACATTAAATTCCTTTTTATTGTCTCTCTGTATACGTGTAAGTTGCGGGTTTGCCGATTGTGTGGGCAAAATAAACACTACGTTAAATTGTAAATGCTGCATTTACTAACAAATTCGATAGTACTTTAATGAATGCGAATTACCAAATCATTAAAATTTCGCCACATTTTCGACAACCGATTCAAAGGCCAATCTGATGCCTAACGGCGACTTTGATGCTTGTTTTGTCCTTCTACTCATAAGCTTGTCTTCGGGTCAAGCCAAGGCTCTATCACTACTTATCCTCCAGAAATGCATGTTATCAGCCAAATAAACGCCTTCTTCTACATCGTGGAAAGTCTCAGAGCACTACAGTAATTAATATAAAACCACTTACACTTGTTCTTTAAAAGGCAAAAAATTCGGTTGTTTAGGAAAAATAAAAAGAGATGGAAAATTCATATGGATTGCAAGTCATGACTAATCCTCTCACCCATGCGGCTCAAACTCAAATGGACGGAAAAAAGCAAACAAAATGTTGCTCAGTGTCTCTCTTTTTTTGGTGAATGATAAAGTGCTCTGGGGTTTTTACTACGTAGGAGAATAAGAAGGGATGCCGCCGGACCTCAGGTGATCGCATCAATAAAATATTGCACTGCTCCCCTCTCCATTTGAGAGGCGTCCTCCACGCCCTCCTCGGTACTCCTCCCGCGCTAGCCATCGCAACTTATCTGGTGCTACAAGGAAACACTCACGAGACAGCCGCACCAGTCATCAGCTATTATGAGACTGAGGGACTGCGCTTCACCTTCCCAGCACATTCGGCTTGATCTGAGGTTACTTTCGGTCTTGCAGTCGTAATCAGGACCGCATACATCTGTGGCCTAACAATTACTTCCGAGAGAAGATGTTGGATCGAAGGTCTAATACAGCCGCAAGGCGGATGTGATTAGACAAAACTTTGAAAGTAGGGAAATCTGGAGTAGGATCAAATCTGACATCCATACACGGATAGTTTAAGGTGGTGTTGCTTCAGTTGACAATATCATGTCTGTGGAATGCAGGGATAAGGTGAATCAAAACGTAAACATCATTTCCAAGCCTTCAGCTGTGAGAAGTTCAGAGAATAGCCAAACTCGAGTGCGTACAGTTCTCTCGTGCTGGAGGTCATTGCCACACACGATTTATGTAATAATTGTTAATATAAACACTTGATATCCGGAGGTTGCTCTAAGGTTTGTCTGGCCTTTGCACAAATGGGATGGCCTTCGGACCATGCCCAGGCCTAGTTACTTTATTCATGCTAGAATACATGTATTCAGCTCCTTTACTGCCTACTTTTAACCAGTGAGTAGTCTCCACATGCTACACTGTTTGCAGTAGAATTCAAACTTAACTTTTAAACGACTTCTATCCTAGTATCCCCCGATTGTGACATATATGATCGGTGCGAAGGAGGCATATGTACATGGGGAGGAGTTTCTACTTTTTCTTTACGACGGAAGGGTTGAAATTATTCTCATTTTGGCTTTGGTCTGTTCTCCTGTTCCATAGAAAAGCTATCAACTGCTAAAGTGGCACCGCCGTTAACCACCTACCACATCCGTATTTAGGTATCGGAAAAATTGCACTTGGTTCTCCTTATATGCAAGACAGTGTCTGATCCCGTTTTCCCTGTAATACCTATGTTATAGATTAGATCTCCACCGTCTTGCCCGGGAAGCAATTCATGGTAAACAGATGCATGCAGCCTCGATTCTGGCTGTCGAACCGAACATAATTTTAGGTCCAGGTGAAGCTGCCAAGGCAACACCGTTCATCAGTCTCATAGTAGACGTTGGCTTGAGTGCCTGTCTCGTGTGTTATTTTGAAGCACCAGATAAGATGCGATAACTAGTGCGGAAGGAGTACTGAGGAGGGCTTAGAGGGCCGTGCCCAAAAGAAGAGACGGACAGTATACTACCATCGTTATGTGATCACCTGATATCCGGTGGTTGGTTTCAGATTCGTCTGATCCTCGAACGCGTGAGTTTGCCTCCAAGACAAACTCAGGCTTAATGTAAGGCTTTGTTTATGTGAATACCTGACGTTTTGTGGTCACTAGGATTTGTCTGGCTCTTGTACTCGAGAGCTGGCCATCGGGCCATGCTTAGGTCCATTTGCTCTGCCCTCTTTGGAAAACATGTATCCAGCCTTACTAGCTGCCTTCTTCTATCCTATGGGAAGTCGCGGGATGCAACACTTAATCCCTTTCCTCAGCCCACTTAATGTATTTTTCTACCTGGTGGGAAATCTTGAACGCTGCAATAGATACTAAGATAAGGCTGCTAAAATGTTGAGCTTCCTTACCACTGCGATGAGCGTAGTCACTTGAGACTTCCCGCAAAGTTGTGGAATGAAGCAAGTATACTTGGAGAAGAAGAAGAAG